ATGGTGACATCCTTAATCAGTTAAAGATTAGAGATAACCTGCTCTCAAAAGCTAGAAAATCTGAAACTAATTCAACCAATGCATGGAAACAATACCGTATCGCAAGAAATTTAGCTTCAAACATGATCGAAAAAGCTAAAAGAAATTATTTCAAATCTTCCATTCAAAATAACAAAGGCAACGTAAAGTCCATTTGGAAATTGATTAAATCTCTTGGAGGTAATAATAAGCCATCGCGCCTGCCAGAATTCCTCATTGGTGAATGCAATAAAGTGTTAAGGAATAGTCGTGAAATAGCCGAAGCTTTCAATATTCACTTTACATCAATCGCCAGTAAAATCAAATCCTCGCTCTCTCCTATCAATAACTTTGATCTAAGTAAGTTGAAACAGTTCGTAAAATCGAAGTTACCACCTAACAAGTCTGCGTTCAGTTTACCATCCATCACATGTGAGTTTGTTGAAAACTACGTGTTGAAGATACCATCTAGTAAAGCAACTGGAGCTGATGGCATTAGTGTGAAACTGCTTCAAGCAGGCATCAAGGAGTTGGCACCATCAATATCTAGGTTAATCAATATGTCTTTGACTAGTAATCAATTTCCCTCAAGATGGAAAATAGCTAGAGTCACTGCGCTATTTAAGGCTGGCGAAATTTCTGATCTTAACAACTATCGACCGATCTCTATTTTACCTGTGCTTTCAAAGATCATTGAACGACATGTACACGACTGTCTGTTTTACTATCTCACTATAAATAATCTGATATACTCCAACCAATCCGGTTTTCGAAGCGAATTTGGCACAGAAACTGCTGTTGCATTTATCGTTGACTCTCTTTTACTCAACCTGGATAAAAATCTCATTAATGGCATGGTCTTAGTCGACTATAAGAAAGCCTTTGATATGGTTGATCACTGTATCCTGCTTGATAAACTTGGAGCATACCATCTTGATCAGAGCTCGCTTGATTGGTTTAAATCCTATCTATCAGACCGTAAACAATATGTTAACTTCAAACGCCAGTCTTCTACAACAAAAGTAATCACGGACGAAGTACCACAGGGTTCTATCCTTGGTCCTCTATTGTTTCTCGTTTTTATCAACGATTTGCCTCTACATATCAACACCCAAGTAGATTTATTCGCTGATGACACTACCTTACTCGCTGCCACTGATTATAATGATATTAATGAACTTAATGAGAAATTATCTCTGGAGGTCTCTAACGTTCAAAACTGGGCCATTACCAATAAACTGCCTCTCAATACCACTAAGACCAAAACCATTCTGATTTCTGGTAAACGTCTTAAAGCTAAGCTTACTCCTGAAAATCAAACTCTCAATATTAAATTGAACGATGATTCATTAGAACAAGAGCACACTGTGAAATTACTGGGCTTTAATATGGATGAAGATTTAAACTTTGACACTCATGTTGATATAATTGCAATGAAACTATCGAAACGTATTGGAATATTGAAATCTATAAAATCCTACCTGCCTCGAAACGAACGTATTCTTTTATACAATGCTATGATCAAACCTCTATTTCTCTATTGTAGTATAACCTGGACAAACTGTAGGCCTAGTAAGAACAATATCACAAAAATTTTCAAACTTCAAAACCCGGCGCTGCGCCAGAATTATCCTTGACGCCGAACCTCGCCATTCTTCGATTAATCTATTTAATAATCTTGGTTGGTTATTTTTTATGTAGAGTCGGATATCAGATAATGTATTATGATCTACAAGCGTACTATTCATGCTACTCCAGAGTACTTAAACAGACTATTAAATTTAAATAGCCAACAACATTCGAGGAACACTCGCAGTGCTGATTTAAGTTTAGTAACTCCGAAAGACAATAGAGCTACAGAAGCAGGAAGAACTTTTTCTATAACCGCTATAGGCCTCTGGAACAAATTACCTTTAAGTTTCCGTTCTGCTAGCTCCATTAACTGTTTTAAATACTTATTATATAACCGCTTCCGTACGCACCAGAGTGAATTTAAACAATTTACTTCTTTTCCTGATTTCAAATTTAAGTAATATATAATAGTGTAATATAGCTATATAATGTTCTCTTTTATATAAATGTAATGTCATATATACCTCATGTATTATAACCTTTTAATTAAGTAAACTTGAAAGTCTGAATATCGATTTATAATCATAGATATATATATATATATATATATATATATATATATATATATATATATATATATATATATATATATATATATATAAATGTTGTAAATAGACAATAGATATACTCCCTAATTTTTTGTAAATTTTATGAGGGCCACAAGTTCATTGGTACTTCGTACTATTAAGTGTCACCCTCTTTAAATAAAGTCTCTATCTATCTATCTATCTATCTATCTATCTATCTATCTATCTATCTATCTATCTATCTATCTATCTATCTATCTATCTATCTATCTATCTATCTATCTATCTATCTATCTATCTATTTATCTATCTATCTATCTATCTATATATCTATACAGATAGTACATGATGAGATGAGACGCATGGGAAAATCTTCTAACTTTGTTGTCAAGGCAACACAGTCGTTCCCAGGCCCCTTACACTGATTTTGAATAACTAGTTGCATTTATCTATGTGTATGTCATTTTCGAATTATTATCATGCAAGTAAACGTTTGGCATGCATAGGTATGGTACACATACTTCTGATATTATTTTATTCTTATAAGTACCATGAATGAAGCTGTTTTATAAAATTAGCGCAAGGGGCCTGGGAACGACATTGTTACCTTGGCAACAAATTAGAAGTGTTTTCAATGCGTCTCATCATGCACAATCAGTATGCAAAATTTCATATGATTTGAACCCATAATAACTGAGCTATGCTTCAGTTTAGTATTCATTAAACATTCTTACCCAACTAATGACGTCACACGTTGTGCTGAATCAGCAACTTATATGATAGGCAGCCCAAAACGGCGTGTAGAATGCACCAAATGCTTCCAAATGTCAATTTATATTAAGCTCGCCCCATTCCTCTGTCATTCTTTTCGTATAACTTCGGAACTAAATGAGATAGAATAGAGCATTAAATGGCCAATATATCGGCTTATTTTTCATGCTCTTTCAGATGAAGCAAAAAAAAATTTTGTTGCTAATACTTAACTGTCGGGTTTCCAACTGAAAACTAATTTCCACACGTCACGAATTTAACTTAAACAACTTCATTTTACTGCACTGAAACTTTTGATGAGAAGATTGAGTTTCCGAACTCAATTCAAGATTGAATTTTTAGGGCCATTTTACGGCCCTAAAAAATCCCTGAAAAAAACTTGCACACGTAAAAATCTCACAACTTGTCAACAAAATGTGTTTGCAACTAGCTCGTAGCAAGCTTGTCAACAAGTTGTAACAATGCTGTTATTTTATGTTATTTTTCTACAAATCTGCTGCAGGTTTGTTACCATAACTAATTTTAGTGTGCAGTGATAACCAATTTGTGCGATGATTAAAAGTAAAATGTGCAGTGATAAAATGTAAAATGTGCAGTGATAAAATTTGCTTTAATAAGTTGTTAATTAACACAAGAAAATGAGACAATGAGCAGAAAAACTGAACTAATCCGGCGAATAATTTTGAATGAGAATGATTTAATTGAAATTGAAATGATGACTGCTGCATAACCATTTTCCGCACTAATAACATACTTACGGTTCATGTCATCACAGGCGGCCCAATCTTACCCTGTGTCATTAATTTATTACGTTATATCTTTATATAAATAGTATATTGAAAATCATTAGAAAATCCTGTGTTATTAATTTATTACGTTATATCTTTATATAATAGTATAATGAAAAGCACTTACACAGTGGCGGCGCCAGGCTTCCAAATTTGGGGGGGCATTTGAGGGGCAAACTCAAATTTGGGGGGGGGGGGCAAGATAGAATTTTTAAAAAGGTCGCCCCCCCAGGAAATTCGCCCCCCCCCTCAAAACGTGGCGATATTCCTAGGAATATCGCCCCCGGGGGCGAATATCCTAGGAATATCGCCTCCCAGGGGGGTGGGGCGAATACTCTAGGAATATCGCCCCTCTTTAGGACATTCGCCCCCCATATGTGCGATGTGGTTTATTCAAATAATTTCGTGATACTTTCATCTTATTATTGCCTTACACGCTTGAGAATTTAACTCTGCAAAACTAAAGCTTTTTTGTCTTTTTTGAAACGTATTATTGGAGTATGGGCAAGTTTTACCATTCAGAGATTTACAAACTAATATTGAAACAGTAAAAAACAGTTTCATGTATACGCGCATTCACTAATGAGTAATGACAACTTATAAGCCATACATTTTCCGATAACGACAAAACGCTTGTGTAGCCTTTAGTCGCTCTCAGTGACTAATAATGAGGGGGGGGGCAAAATGGGGGGCAGAAAATAATTGGGGGGGGCACCCCCTGGCGCCGCCACTGGTGATGCCGAAGTAGCCTGGGGGGAGCAAGTTATTGGCGAAAATGGAGGCCGGAAAAGTAGATTTTGTTTATATCACTCATTGCCTAATTCTTGTGGCCATTTTTCTCAACCTTTTTAGCGTATATACATTTATTTATCACTCTGAGTACGGATTTAGTGTGCATTTTGCAAGAATTCTGCTGTCAGAAAGAATTTATTGTCGATAGCATTATCGAGCGTGCTTTTGATTCCTTTGATGTTGACGAAATTTCAAATATGAATATCTTTTGTCGACTTACTGCCAACACCTACCAACTCAGGCATGTTGAAGCTCGTTGTCTCAAGTTATTATCGTCGTTGTAAAATATATTTTCGCCACCATGGAGCTATGGAAGTCGGAAAAGACCAAGAGTTGGTTAGAGTGCTGGAATAGCAGAACTGCAGGATCGGGCCTGTACTTGCATTTTCGTTGCTGCCCTTGGTTAAGTCTAAAAATGTATAAAATTTACACTCGAGATTTCCATGCTCCAACTTCCACTATCCTGTTTTATTATATGGCGAGCATCACTTCCGGTGAAATGGCGTACTGTGATTGGCTGAGAAGCAATTTCAGCGGTCCGTTATTTTCTCGTAATGGACCGGCAGTCCATTACGTAAAAAAATAAAGGCATGCATTTTAAAACAAAACAGCAAAACTAACAGAAAATTTGAAAATTATAATTTAGTTTGTTATTATTAAGATATCTGCGAATGGTTTTAAGTGGAAAGGAAGGAATACATTGGTAATTTTTGTTTTCTTCGACCTAATGTGTATCACGCTACTAATATATGCATTTCAAATCATGCATTTCTTGTTTGTTTCGAGTATAAATGCCTTAAATGCCATATAATAAACTTTTTATTAACGTTGCTTGCGCGGTCTTTACAGAGAAATATAGGACTGAGGGTTTTTTGTCTTTTTAAAAACCTCGTGTTCGGTTAATAAGAAGTTAATACTGGGCCATAATTATGAAAGATAGCCTTACTGGCACTCTAGGGAGTTATGGCTAAGGGCCGATAGAGCTATCCCGTATAAATATAGTCAGATTAATTTAGTTCACTGATCAAACTTATTTACTGGGTTTGTTGGTGTTTTGTAGCAACATGCAAATAACGATGTTAAGTTTCTCACTTCGGGTCGCTGGGAGGTGAAGAAAATCGCGTCTTTTGACCGAAAAAATGGAATTGTGTAAGTTGTGAATTTTTGAAATCCTAAAATATGCTTTGTACCATGGACAGGTATGTCAGATACATCTCCGGAACGGTACATCTTTATTTTGCAGCTACTACGAGAGTACAGAGGAATCTCCAACGAAAGCGCATCTCTACAGGTATTACTGTATGCTAGGGGTAGCCTGAGGGGAAAGCTCCAACTTCAAATTGCAAAATACTTTCAACGTACTATGCTTTTGCAACCTGAAAACCACCGGATCTAGTAGCTCTTTAATGATTTGACTATTTGAGGTTCTCCCATCTCTCAGGCTTTTCACTTAGATTTGTAACCTTACGTGGGTCGTGAATGAAATTCGACTGCTCTTTGCTATTCATTTATTTGAAAACATGACTGATACTAAACCATCCTCGTCCCAAGGGCCTCTCGACCCCGTGCGTCCAACGAGTGACTGAGTGAAAGTGGCTCTGGGGACGAGAATCATGATACTAAACCTGGTTACTGTGAAATCACAGACCGCGAATTCCATACGCAATGAAGAAATATCATGGATTTGGGGCATCTCACTCGGAGGGTTTATAGTTGTATTTTTTGCAGTTACTAATTGGTTAAGTCTAAAAATGTATAACATTTGTACCCGAGATTTCGCTAAAAAACCCTCCAAATGTAGAAATATGTGTTTGCAATTGTAAATGCATGATCCTTCTTCTGTTCGCTCTACTTTATTAAGTCGATGTAATTATGTAGTTATTCGTTATCATATTTTTCCCTGCGTGATGAATTGTATTTATTTAATATAATCGTGTTCGAATCACATGCAATTTATTCATTTCATAGTGTTGACCTTACTGGCAAAAAGACTTGTATCTCCTGTAAATTGAAAGAGACCAAAGGTATAAAAATATTTCTTGCCGCTTTCCAGAACCTTTTTAAACTATATAACTGGATCCAGGGGCAAAGCCCCCTGCCCCATAGACTTGCTCCAAGTCTCTCTTTCATTGTCATATCGATCCACTATAGTGTACATTACATGACGTAGCACGGAGAGGCGGAGCGAGAAAGAGAGACTTGTCAACTTCGGAAAATCTCGGTTCAAAACTGAACCGAAAATGTAAGACTTGATTTAATTGTTTTCCTTCAATTTCTTTCTGTATTATTTACTGTAATGAATTCATGTTATTCACACTGTGCTACATCAATTCATATAAACACTGACAGAAAACAATTAAAGCAAGTCTTGCATTTTCGGTTCAGTTTTGAACCGAGATTTTCCGAAGTTGACAAGTCTCTCTTTCACGCTCCGCCCCTCCGTACTACGTCATGTAATGTACACTATAGTGGATCTATACTATATGACAATGAAAGAAAGAGTTGGAGCAAGTCTACCAGCCCTAATGCCCCCTCCCTCTCAAACGGCTCCCCCCCCCGGCTCCTCCCCCAGTCAAAAGCCCTTTTCTCTAAAGTATAAGCAAAACATTGGAGGAAAATTGAAATTTCTAAGCAAGGTTTGGTATTCTAGTAATTGAAATTTGCTTTGTGAATCTTATGTCTTGTCTTTAATCATCTTCAAATGATTCAATATCTTTTTAAACACGCTAAACATTGTGTTGTAAATACTTTAGATTTCTTAAAAATTTCCCAATGGATAGTAATATAGCATATCCCAGACCATATAGACTTGAGTTGGAAAGCTAGGCTAAACAAGTTAGTGACCGAGTTGTGGTATTTACATAAACATACCATGCAAGTACTTAAATGAAGATTCAGTTTATATCTACTGTATAATGTAACACTGTATATCCAAAAATCTGTTTCAGAAAACGCACGAAATGCAGTCCTAGAGGTGGAAAAATACAAATATTTTCTGGGGGAGAATGCCCCCATGCAGACCCCCTACTATTACAACATTTTTTTCACCAACAACTATCTGTCATCTCTCCATACTTACATTGGCATTGCTCTTCAAATTTATTTTTTTTGCTTCTTCTAGACGGACGATGCACAAATTACTTTTCATCATTTAGTAAAAAAAGTTCTTGGTATATCTTAACTTGCTCAGGTAAATTTCAGACTTCTATATTAAGGCAAGTAGTTGCCAAGAAAATTTAACTCTTCTAAAGGCCTGTTTATATCGAGGCGAGTTACCTGGCACGGTGAGTTACTCGCCCATATGGGATAAACAATTGCTCTGTTTAGTTTATATGGAATCGAGTTGCTGACAGGATTTACGACCTAATGGATGATTCCAGCTATAGACCAGGGGCGTAGCCAAGGGGGGGGCAAGGGGCGCCCCAATCGCAAAACTATTCTCTGAAAAAGGCTAAATCCGTAGAGAAATGGGGGTACACGTTACATCCTCGAAGCTGAAACGGAGTAAGTACGTCTCGACTGAGGAAAACGACGAAATACTGGAAGAACTTGATTTCTAAAATCTCGTTAAAACAGTTGTAGATATGGTTCCAAGAGGAATAGATTTAGTTTAGATTTACATGTATATGCATTATGATAACATGAATATTCTTCTCAGACTTATTCTGTATCATATATAAAAGCGAGTAGAAACTTAGAAATGTCTGGGAAAATTTATGTCTTCGACGTACTTTATAATATTGGGATTCTGCAAGATTTCACCCCCAAAATGCTTGAAATCACATTTCAGGTTTCAGGAACTCTAAATTTCAAAATTTTCACGGGGGTGCATGCCCCCGGACCTCCATAGATGGTCTCGCGCCTTCGGCGTTCGCTTCGCACCCCCAAAAATGAAGGTCTGGCTACGCCACTGCTATAGACTAAATTTTGATCCAGACAAGAAGGATGAAATCTATCATTATAGCTTTAAAGAACATCCTTAAATGAGTAAAATTGCAAAGTTTGGTTGCAAAGTGTTGTAAAATACGGAAAATATAGCCCTGTGAAATTAGAAAATTTTGAGTGTTTAGTATACGCGCGGGAAAATACACCACTAGCTTTTGAGCCAAAAGTGATGGTTGGAGCGGAAACAATTTTCCAGGATGTTAGCTGCAGTAAAAAATTCGGCGTTATACGACGTTTTCACATGTTCAACTTCAAAACCTTGGTTAAAAAAGGGTGCCAGATAAGTGTTGCGACTTGCGAAGATGTCATGAAGTCTAAAATATATATTTGTCTGTTTTTTGCAGGCTAAACAATGTCAGGTGACTTGCACTTCAAAATTTCAATAAATCACGATATTCCTTAACTCCAGTTCGAATGTCGCAGGCTAACTGAAATTTTCAATTTCATTAAATTGCCGAATTTTTTTATCTTTAATTTGTTGTCCGGTGGGATACATTGCATTTATCTGAACCCACGTGACCACAAATCAGCCAATCACGTTCAGTTTAAGCACTCGCTATATAACAATATACATTCCTTTGCAGGACCTGGTGTGCCTGTAAGTTGGTTCCGAAGTACAAGAGATAATACAGGTCAGTCTAATCTATAGTGTTAGGTATTATACTATTCTTTTATTCGATTTTGCATGGGCGGATATCCTGGAAGATCCTCTGCCCCTAAAACGTATATATCAACGTTATGACGTCACTCCTTTGAATATTTAACAATTATTGAGCATTATATATAGAGGATATTACACGGCGGCGCCAAGGTATGACTTTTATCTTCGAGTGGTGAAAACAATATTTTACGAACGAGCGCAGCGAGTGAGTAAATATTGTTTTTAACACGAGAAGATAAGAGTCATATCTTCAAACCATGCACCGTGTAATGTTCTGTTTATTAGTTCCAAGTAAAAAATTGTATAAATACTAAAAGTCACGTGATCGATCTCTCACTAGTGAAGATATGGAAAATATCTTACTGTGTATTTTTCAGTATCTCTCTACTATATAATAAGAAGAATTAACGAGCCTGACGTTTGTGTTATCGAGTAGGCGAAGGCTGAGGTTGATACACAAACTGAGGGCTTGGTTTTTTCCTTTTCCTCCTTTTTCTATACTTTATATACATCTATATTATGTAAATTTTACTGCTGATTCTACCATGTCAAAATAAAGTTTATAATAATAATAATAATAATATCTTTTCAAGCCGAATTAAGTAATTGTCGGCATCCTATCGGATTCTTCGCCGTAAACACTGCAACATGTAAAAAATAGGCAGGCGGAAAAAAGAAGTATTAAAAAAGAATACTTTTTATTTTAGTGATCCCGCTTGAATCCAATGCAGATCTTCAAAAGCGGTTGGAAACGACAGATTTGCCAACATATAAATATCATATAGTAAAGACAACTGACCAAGAGTACGGTAAGATCATTTTTATATGTGTTCTTTGTTGCGAGTTATTCTTCCCCAAAGGCATTTTTTTACAGCACTCTAGCAAACGGCAAAATCGGGATATTTTTTACTTGCACCAATTATCCCTTACAATCCCTTTTTACCCGCGATATAATCTGCGGTTCGGTTTCTGTTGGGTTGGATTTCTGCCAGAGGGCCTGTCCTCGCATTTTTTGCAGTTGCTCCTGGTTTGGTCCAAAAAGTATGATATTTACGCTCGAGATTTCTATCCAAAAAACCCTGATATATCTGTGCGTAATCTCCTGAAGACACAAAATAGCGTTATTTTCCCGTTTGCATGTTCTTTGAAAGAATTTATCACTTTACGACATTCGGATTAATGCAATACGAATATTTTTTAATATTTTTGTTTCCCCTCGGCATTACCTGCTTGGAAATTATTTTTTCCGCAAGAGATTCAACTCACTTTGGGCACTTCAAGTTGCATCTAATTAAAAGCAGTAACAAAAATAAATAGAAAGCTGTGTTTGGTGGATAATATAGGTTAGGCTAGATTAGGTCTTATAAATTCGGTTAGAGCAGGTCTTATGTCTTAGGACTGTCATGTGTTACCCGCGCTAAACAAAGTCATGAAATGAAATGAAATGAAATGTGGAATCTCGATCAAGTGAGATAAATCCATAGAATGCTTTATTCCACCTGACTGAGAGTTCAATCACAGCAAATATTTGCCCCATGCTTACGTGATTTTGTCCCAGGGATAAAAACAGTCATGCATGTGAACACTGAAATAATTTATCCCACTCAGGAGGTGGGTTACCCAGCCACGTGGGCTCACATGTTCACCTCCTTTTTCTAGACATCCACGTGAGAGAGACAAGACCTCCAAACTTCGATAAGAAAAAGAAATACGCAGTCTTATTTAATGTGTAAGTAACGAAGAATGACAGAAGTGTTGCAAAAACATTGTTCCCTAAACCTGCGGAAATTCGTAACTTGCATGACTGTTAAAGCATTGTTTTGTTTGTGGCACTATTTTGTTATTCGTCAGTAAGCCTGGATTTTCATCAGGGGTGGAAAAAATAGGCGAGCACTGCGCGCTCGCAGGAAATGTTAAACAATTGCGGGAAATTCGTTTGAATGAAGATTTGCTATTGACAATTTGAAGGAAACCTTAACACATTAACACACATGTCCGACTATGGGCACAACAACATAGTTGACAGACATTATTCCTTGAATTCAAAACTATGGTCAGCTAGAATACTATATGTTTACGCAAATGATGATTTAGCACAAAATGCTCCGTTGGTCTGCAGGAAATTTTTGTCTCCAGTTTCTGCTCCTAGGAAGAAAATTCTTTTTTCCTGCCCTGATTTTCATCAAGACCGGACATTAGTTTCACTGATAAAGATCTGGACTTACCAATCGTAAATTTTCCTAATTTCTTAACGCTGTTCGTTTCCTTTGTGAACAAAGGTCGAACACGACTCACTCAGAATCGCCTGCTCGACATTTAACAGTTATTCTGCGAACTCGAGTCGTACATGAGCTGGTAGCCATCAGTTGGCTATCAGTCATATGAGTAGAAAACACCGTTTAAATATTAAAAATTATTTGCTAACCTGAAAACAAGGGAATAACGTGCTGTTTTCTCGTTCGCAAGACTCTGGTAATTCTTGTGCCGCCATATCGTGTTTTCTCTATACTGGGATATGACCTAATATCCTGCTAGTAGAGAGCCAATCAGATTGCAGAATAGCTTGTATCCGTTAGTTGTCAATATCATAACATGAACTGGCTTATTAACCTTAAAAACTTAAAGTGTTTTTATTTTTATTCTTGGGTTTCAGTTATGGAGGACCAAGCAGTCAACAGGTAAGTCAAAGAAATTTTGAATCACTCGTACAGACATACTTAAAAAGGTACAAGAATTGTTACAGGTCTACAAACATGTTGTAATAAGTTTGTCTTCAAGTCGATAACAGTACCCAGTTGTTGTGAGAAAGCTGGAACAGGTTGTTAGCTATTACAAGGATGATGGCTGTAACAGACTTGTTACAAGTTGTTACGACGAGAAATACACACGCTGTTCGTAACAAGTTGCTACGAGCTTGTTGTCATCAACTTGTTAACAACCTGTTACTGACGTGCAAGCCATATCAGACTTGTTGGGACAACTCTGTTAGCCTCGTACGTCAACCTTGTTACAAAATGATAACAACTTGTTTCAGACTTGTCAACAACTGCAGGGAACAAGATGATAACAACTTGTTTCAGATTGTTGACAAGCTGTGAGGGTTGATGAGGGCAACAAGACTCTCATCAATTTGCTCCAAGTCTCCAACAAGTCCGATATTGTCTGCACGTAGCAAGTTAACAAGTTCATGACAAGCTCGGAGCAACTTGTTACGAACAGCCGGAATGAGTAGCAAGTCTGTTACCGTCATCAACGTTGTGACAAGATTGACAAGAACTTGTTCCAGACTTTTTTCCAACAATTGGGAACAAGCAGTGCGACCACATCCTGATATCAGCTGCGCAACAATCTTGTTACAAGTGTTTTCAGATCTGTAACAACTTCGGGAAAAGTTACGTGAAATCGACTGTAAGCGGTAGGGTAGTTTATGTAATTATTACTAATTAAATTGTTCACTGCGTTTAGATAATGGAGACGTACCAAACTGGATATGAAACTTACCTGACAAGTAATTATGACATCATTATTTGTGAAGTGGACGGTCGTGGTACAGCTTCACGAGGAAGGAAGTTTGAACATGCTGTTTATAAACAACTGGGGGAGTTTGAAAAGAATGACACATTGGCTGCTGCTAGGTAACCTTAACTAAGTACCTTTATTTAGACTGGATAGGTCTATCAGTTCATAATTGGTTGTACATATAGAGGCCCAGTAAAGTTAATGAGAAAATCTAACTGAACTAACTTTATTTGGACTGCATGACTCTATCATTCAGTTTATCATAAACTTTTCTCCTTAGATTAGCGGTCCAGTAGGGGCAATCCCATAGTGGCCCCACGGGAGGAAACCTAAACTAAACTACTGTCAGTTCTAGGCTGCTTTCCGTTCTGTATCAGGAGTTGAAATTTTAATCTTTTTAAGAAAATCCTCACATGATGGTATTAATTTATGGTTGAATTTTGATTTAATAAATATTTAATAGTATAGTTTGCTCTAAGAGCATATAATGCTCATCTAGAGGGCTTACTATTGAAATTTGTCCACATTTTTAGTCCCCACCCGTTGGTATAAGGGAGTCCCTTAGAGAAACTGGCGATGTTTAGTACAATTACAGGTAAACTATGTGAAGCGTTCCTCTTTTGAGTTTCTAAATTGATTGCAATTTTCCTCATTAATTTTGCAATTTAAAAAACTCCCTTGCAAATCCCTTGAGGAAATTTGCAATGTTGCTAAAAGCCAATTAAATTTTCCTCAGTTCCTGTTAGGAGTTCTTAACTTCCTGTTACAAGTTCCTAACTTCCTGTTCTGTTCTGGGCGTTGCAATTGGCTAACAAAAATAATCGACCAATAACAACGCTCAGAACAGAACAGGAAGTTGGGAAATTAAAACAGGAAGTTAGGAAAATTTAAAATGAAGTTTGTTGCATTGGAATATTGCAACAGCCGATAGGAATATTGCAAATTCCCTCAAGGGATTTGCAAAGAGTTTTTCAAATTTGCAAAGCTAATGAGGAAAATTCCAAATGAGTTAGGAAGTCAAAAGAGGAACGCTTCACGTAGTTTACCTGTAAACTGGAAGCACTCTTCTCATTTGAGACTGAGACGAAATTATGATCAGACGCGACTGCATGCATTTGCAAGAATCAAACCTCGGTATATAGACTCATGGACGTACCGGAAGGAAAAATTTAGGGGGGCGGAAAGAAAATTGCCCGACTTTTCGGGATTGTGCCCGACTAGTACCGAAAAATTTTTTCCGGAAAAATTATTTTGGCGACCTCCCCCCTCCCCC